ATATACGAAGTAAAAGGAAATATAATTAAAAAAAAATATAAGATATTGAATGCAATGAATGGAAAAATAGAAAACGGGAAAACCGAGGGAAGAGCGGGAAGGCGTTACGCTCTCCTGTAGCGAACGGCGTGGTGCGGTCCCAGGTTTTTCGTGGGGTGGGGACTGGGGAGGTCGGGTCTCACCGGGCCGTCACGGTCCGCACTCACCGACTCCGACGTGGCGGGACGTGATTGGAGGGGGACGGTCACTGTGCTTTGAAGTTTGAACGCCGAACCTCCGCCCTTTTGACCTCTTTGATTGGCTCGTGATTCATAATTAGCAAGTTGGTACTTTTGGCACGGAAACTGATGACTCCACACTCTTTCTACGATGGAAGTATATATATTACATTTTGATTTTGATGCTTGTATAATTATGGCTCACACGACTTTTTATTTCAGTCATAAATATGCTTTGAAACTTGATTTTAGCTCTAATTTAACCGAAAATATTAAGATATCGACGAGGAGAGTTGTATGCGATCTCTTCATAACTATCAGAAATTTCAAATTGTCCAATATTTTTCGAATTCTAGAAGGAGAGTCATACACTAACTCGTGAGTGCTGACAGACGGGTTTTCATTTTCGAACTGTAGCATTCTTATCTGGGTTTTAAGAAATGTGTGTGTAGTTAGGATATGACACTTATTAAATAATCGCAGGTAAATAAATGCTATAATTCTTAAATGAATTAGCTTTCTTGGTGATGTCATAAATAAATGGTGTTTCTAAAATCAAACAAAATATAATAAGGTATTTTTAACAAATGCTGCAAGAGACTTGTTGACGTGACCCTTCTAACTTTGAAGTTATTATTTGGTAAGAGTCTTTTCCTAGCATTGGTCCTAAAGAGACTCACTAAAAAGTATAATTAGTAAAAGACATTCGATTTTTGAAGCTTTGATTAATTGTAACATGAGAAAAGTAATGCATTCAAAATCATGGACTTTTCTTATTTGAGCCACTTATTGAGAAATACATTTTCTATAAGTTTGATGAGATTTATTTGTACGAACCGATGAGTTTACAGGTTAATTCAAAAAAGAGAAGCACCAACTTTACCTTGAGTAACAATTATGGTCCGAACTTTTTTTTATCTCATAAAAAATTGCAAACTTTCACTTAAATCCCAAATTTGGCCAAAATGTTTGAAAATTTCACATCACGGGGGCCAGATTTGAGATTCGAGTAAAAGTTGGCGCCTTTAATTGAGACAGAAAAAAGGTTAGGACCAAAATTGTCACTCAAGATAAAATTTATGTTTTTTTTTTGGAATTAGGCTTGAGTTTGGCTCAATAGTTGAGGAATAAACTTGTGTCCATAAATTGTGAGGGTTTAGTCTCTTTTTCAAAAAGGCTAGTCATCCTAATCTTCCACCTTTGCATTAGAAGAAAAAAGAAGAAGAGTTTTATATCTACAAGGAACACTTATTAAAAGTGACATGCATTTATTACATGACAAATCTTCTTCTTAAATGTAGAGTTTATTTACCTAACGAACTGCAAGCGGACCAATTCTGTTCCAAGCAGAATTATGCAGAGCAAAAGCACCAGCAACTATTGCCCGACTATATTCTACATTATTTTTATACATAGAATTAAGTTTACATTCATATACATAAACACATATCCGGACCCCTTCCAAAAAGTGGGAATATTGTCCAATCAATCATAAATTTATTATACGGATGCTAATTCAATTTTAAACTATCCAATTTTATCAATTTAATCCTAAATCATTGTACAAAATTTCAATATAGACCTTTCAACTAATTTTCATTAGAAATCATTGACGTGGCGATGTTCCACGTAGGATGGTCGGTGATGATTGGATCGCCACTTTAGAAAATTGACTGGAAGGACTATATTGAAATTTCGTGCAAAAATTTATGATTAAATTAATAAATTAGAAAATTTAAAATTGAATCGATATTCGTACAATATGTTTAAGTTTGATTGCGTAATTTTCACTCCAAAAACTTTTTCCAGGCGGTGTAGTGTTGACTGATATGCATATCACATCCCATATGACCAAAAGTCAAGTCATTTCGACTTTCGAGTAAGATAGTCAGTAAAATTCAATAATTTTTTCACTAAGTTGTACAACTCAACTGTATAAGTCAATTCTATCGTTGAGTTAGGTCTTCTTTTCAAAATAATTTTTTGTGACTCTTGACTCGCAAGTCCCACCAACGATGGATATGAGAACGACTATCTCAACATACTTGAAAATGATCTTCCGGTTCCTTCTTAGAAATTACATACATATTATTTTCTTTTGGGGACCAAAAGCCATGATTTATAGCAACAGGGTAACCAAAGCTGGTTGGCTTCTACTACCAATGACTCGGTTTAACTGGTAAAGAAGACTGAAGTCACGAGTAGAAGTCCTCCAAACACACCGTTTACTCGATAATTATCTTTGCCGAAATTCTCTTATACTAACTTCTCTTGTTACGACGCAATTAAATTCCTCGAACCAACCTTTAATTCGACACGCTCCCCATCTCCACCTACACGAAGGCGCGTGCTCGACTTCCCGAACCTACGCATCGCACGAAAAATGCATTCTACACAACTCTCTTTTCCCTTTTACCAATCTATTCATTCAATGTCCCTCTCCTCCATGGAAAATGATGGCCAACTACATAGTTTCAGATTGGGTTAAGCTTCGATTCAGCTGGTGTAGGAAAACTATCGCCATTAAATGATAAGTATCCACTAATTTGACAAAACAACAACCTAGCTTTTTACAAAGGTTTGTGTCTGGCTCCATAGCTTCTACTAGGAAATGCATCGAACGTTATCCTCTCTCTCTCTCCACTCGAGAGGCGTTGATGAGTGTACGCGTACGCACCAACGTACGTACAAAGCTACAAAACCCACCACACAATTTGCATCACGAACATCCAAGTACGACGTGTAGTAGATGTGCCTGTTCATATATGGAATTGTATAATTAGAAGTGAACACTTATTCTCTTAAAACTAGGAATGAAAATCCAACGAGGGTTACGTAAGGACCGGACGGATGTGGAAATTACTGGGCGATGCCAACCTTTTTTTCTTGACGTTGATGTGGGGTTTTCCAATTGGGGTTAACCCAAGGGAGGTGGCAAAAGCATTATAGTTTTGTATCATCACTAGATAGTCCAATCTCTTCATACCCTTTTTTGGCAACCAAATAATGGGTCTCGTTTTCTTTTATATATGGACTAAGGCTACGTTTGGTAGTCGGGATAAAATTCGGGATAGGATAAATTTTATCCTATCCCGTGTTTGGTGTCTGCTCAAGATAGGATAAAGTCGGATATAGGAGGGATATAGCCCGGATAAAATTATCCAACGGGGGAGGTGAGATAAAGGTGGATAGGATTTCTAATATTCATAATATAAAAGTTAATTTTGTCGAATAAAAAACTTGTTAAATTAATAAAATTAAAATAATATTTGAATATAAATAATATATGAATTTTAATATAAAAAATTCAAAATAACAAAAAAATAACAATAATTTCGTTTTTTTTATTTATTCTTATTTTTATTTATATATTCAAAATTTATTTATATCTTGTGATATAAATTTCATATATAAATCAATACTAATGTATTTATATTTATTATATATTTTAGGTATATTAGTATAGCTTACTATTTAATAAAATTTTATTAGAGAATGATGGAAGGGGAAAAAAGAAATGAAAAACAAAATAATTAAAAAAGAGAGGCAAAAATAATAAAAAAAAAGCAAATAAAAATGAAATAGGTAAGAGTGTCGTGAGAGAGATTTTTATAATCTCCGTTTATGCAATTCTTGGGTTCATTTACATTAATATGACGTTCATAACAAATAATGAACATGATAAGATGTGAAATATCCAGCTTTATTTCCATGATTCACCAAATAGTAGATATGATACAGTAAATCCCTTGGATTTCAAATCCTATTCTGATTAGAAATTCAGACGACCAAACGCAGCCTAATAGTTATCCGAAACAGATATGTTATCCTATAGCATACCCTTCTCTTTGATCTTAACAGGGACTAGCTTTTAGTCTCGATACACTATGAATCTATATCATAAGACTATCGGACTTCAAGAACTTTCTTAACAAGATTCACAGAGCGGTAAATAGAGAACACACCCATCTCTGGAATCACCACGTTCACTTCTTTCTTTCTTTACTTTTTCTTTTTTGTTGGGTTTTGGAGTAAAGTAGTACGTTTTCATTAGGCACTTCCAAGAATAGCCGTGTATATGGGGAGCGCGATGAGCTGGGCATTTCGAGTCTTTTTCAGCACCCAATATTGGCGTTGTGGTTCGTGGAAAGCCGAGTCATTTTCAACGTCGCGAGAAGAGAGAGAAGAGAGAGAGATGGCGTCTTTTGCCCTGTACGCAGCTTAAAACACGCAGTGGCAAAAAAAAATGGACACACCCTTGGACACGTCTCGGATCGCCAGTAAAACCTTATCGTTTTCTTTCGTGAAAAATCATACTTGGCAAAGAAAACAATCAGCCAGAGAGACTAATTAGGTTCAGATGACAATACAACCCCAAAAAATGGAAAAAAAAAAAATTGAACATTACGCACATAAATACAAATCGAGATCGAGAGAGACAGAGAGAGATGGTTATGGGTAAGGCCTGATGAGTTTTTGAGAGAGTTATTTTGGCTAATAAATATAAGATGGACAGAGAGAGAGGGAGAGAGGGAGAATTGACTCACGGGAAGATGAATCAACACACACATAAAAAAAAAAAGGGGGAAAGAAAAGGCAGTTGAGGATAGCTAAGACTCATCGCATGTTTGCTTCACGCAAGCAGCTAAACATGAGAGAGGTTGTGTTTGCTCTCTCGCGTGGCTTTAAAGGCTTCCCCTTGGCGTTTTTAAGTAACACACCACGCACCCCTCGCTCTCCTTCAAACCTTTTCACCTCCTCTTATTCTTCTTAGAGAGAGAGAGAGAGAGAGAGAGAGAGAGAGCAGCAGCAGCAGCAGCCAACCCGAAAGACATCCCTCTCAAATCCTCAGAAACCCAACCAAGAAACCACACCAAACCCTAAGTCAAACGAACTCTTCTTTCTCTCTTGCTCTCCTTCCTCATGGCCCCTCGAACCATAATCTTGGAGAACGTTCTTGGTTATGATCATTAGTTTGAGACCATGAGCTCGAACGCCAGCTCCAGCGGAGGAGGCGGAGGCGGAGGGGGGAGTGGCGGCGGCGGGAGCGGGAGCGGGGGCGGCGGGCCATGCGGCGCGTGCAAGTTCCTGAGGAGGAAGTGCGTGCCCGGGTGCATATTCGCCCCCTACTTCGACTCGGAGCAAGGGGCGGCGCACTTCGCGGCGGTGCACAAGGTGTTCGGCGCGAGCAACGTGTCGAAGCTCCTCCTCCACATCCCCGTCCACAAGCGGCTCGACGCAGTGGTCACGATATGCTACGAGGCGCAGGCCCGACTCCGGGACCCCATCTACGGCTGCGTGGCCCACATCTTCGCCCTCCAGCAACAGGTACGCGCCCTCATCGTCCCAGTCATCTGAAAATTTCGTATTTTCATCGTCGATCCCATAGAAAATTCTTGCGGTTTTTGTTAATTATAAGGCATCTTTAGCTCGAGAGTCTCGCAATTTTACTCTCTTTCTCTCCCCCAATCAGTTCTTTCTCTTGCCCAATCAGTTCTGGTTCCATTATTGGTAAAATTTTTGCACCCACAGAAAAGATTTCCTTCTTGTTTTGTGTTTTCTGCAAGCTTCGACCATATTTGATGACTCATGATCTTCCTGCTCGAAAGTGACGAAAAAACTACAAACGGAGTGATAAAAATGCCCGATCAACTTCATTCTTGGCAACGTTTTCCATAGTTCGATCCCAACGAGATGATTAATATGAACAGCGGCTTCTAAATTTTCCATCTAAGGCTATGATCAAAAGCTGGTCTCGTTCTTCATCATCTTCTGGTTTGTTTGTGGTAGGTGGATGCACCCCCCCAAAAATACACAAGGGGTCTCTTTTTTCTGAAAACTGTACAATCTTCACTGTCTCCTTGCTCATAATGAAAAAACAAAAAAAAAGGAACTCTATTTTTTTTTACAAAAAGAAAAAAGAAAGTTGAAAAAAATAGGTCATAAAGGCAGGGGATATGTATTGCAGGGTATGACGTGAGTGTTTTTAGGGCTTTTTTTTGTTTTTATTTTGCGAGCTTTACTGAATTCTAGGAAAACTTTTCTTCGATATCATATGACGATGATGATGGGGGTGGGCGTATATCGTGTTTTTAGCTGTAATTAAGGAAATGGTCGGTTTGCTTCCTCCTCTCAAATAGCACCCAAAAATAAAAAAATAAAATTTGACATTTTCCTCTTCAAATCATGCGTGACTCAGCATGGGGAAATGGGGGGCCAGTTTTGTCATTTTCTTATGGATTTAGTCTTTGATTAATTGAAATGATTAACGCGCCTCTGAAGTTTGGTAATCTTTGATCTTTTAGATGCTAACATTCCATGCGTTGTGAAGGGAGTAGTAGTACAGCGATCTAATCCGTTTCTTGTCAGACACATGCTATGATCCAACATGTAACATTCGGGTTTTAGCCTTATAATATGACTGCTTATGCACTCAATTATTTGGTAAGCACAAGCTATATTATATAGTTCTCGAACACATTTAAAGAATAAAAAAGCGGACCCACCAGAGAATTCAACCACCAGCTTCAATGTTGCGCTCATCCCAAGGGCAATTATGCAAGCAGAAACGAACAAATTGTATTTAATTAGTCCTCTGCCCCCTAGGCTTATTCCTAAGTCTCTCACGAAACCTTGCATTGTTGGGCAACTCCACGTTCCCCATGCACGGTGTTCAAGCACGCACTTTTTCGAGCATATCGCACACAGCTCGCCACAAGGAAAGCAAGCTGGGCACGGCGATTTCGTCAAATGTTTCACACTCGAAATCATTGTAGTTAATCATTTCCTCGAGCTGCTGGATCGAGGTGAGACTATATAGTAGTCTTTTTCTAGGGTTTTGCCTTCTCGTTTGTTCGACTCTTGTATAGAAAACTATGGACCTTGCGTCCCGCGTTGGCAATGCATTGATTGCGGCGAGGAATGAGATGTGTTGTGGGGGGTGTGGGTGGGTGTATCGAGACGGTTTTGGTTTTGTTTGGTTTTTCAGCATGTCTAATACGTCCGATCTTTAACCAAACTGAGAAGTTTCTTCTTATCTAGTTAATGATGAAGACGATACGGATACATACGTTACGACACGGATTGTTCTTTGAAATTTCTGAAACGAGACTGTTTTGATCTTGTTGCCGACTGGCATATTGATGCTTTCTGTGTGCTATCGTATACGGGATTGCTTCTCGATTTACTTAATGACCTATGCGAGACACATATATACGTTACATGCATTGTTTTCCGAAGTTTAAAACGAGATGTTTTGATGCCGGTTGTGACGGATGGGCTGACACGAAGCACTTCATGCAATGGGTTGATGATGCTTTCTTTGAACTAACCTTTTCTTGTTGTCGAACGAGGTTTTAGTTCCTTGATGATTATCTTTAAATAAATTGTCTTTTTCAAAGTTTTAAGACGAGAAATTAGGGTTTTAATTGTCATTGATAAGCTGACACGAAGCACTTGGATGCAATGGTGTTGGTATTTTGTTAGATTCTATCTTTTCTTATCGTAGACGAGATCTGTTCAAGCATTTATGATGTATCTAGACGCTTATCTAGCCTTGTTTAATCGTACTTTTGAGAACTCACTGCTAAACCATATGTGGGAAAATGAGTAGGACTCCTTAGCTTCTACGGCATTTTTGGCAAATTATAAAGTGTCTTGGGCTAACTAAGTTTTTTTGATTCATTGGGGAATTGATGGTGCAGGTGGTTAACCTCCAAGCCGAGCTCTCTTTCCTACAAGCCCACCTGACGACGTTGGAGCTCCCGACGCCTTTACCGCCGCCGCCCCCGGCTGTGGTGGTGCCGCCGCCCCTATCGATAGCCGATCTCCCATCGGCCTCATCGATCCCTGCTACTTATGATTTGTCCTCACTTTTTGATCCAATGGCACAAGCGGCGTGGATGATGCCGCAACGGCAGATCGATCCCCGTCAATTCGAAGGCGGCGGCGGCGATCTTAATGCGCTGGCCCGGGAATTGCTACGACGGCAAGGATCTCCGCCTCCTGGCTGCATAGATGCGTCGTCATCACCATCGTCCGTCTCCAAATGAGACTGACAACCCTAATTTATACTAGTACTTGCCCCGGGATTTACTATTGACGATACATATTTTAGCAAGGGAATTTTGATTTTCTTGTTATACTTTAGAGGCAAGTAATAGCAACTAATTAATCTTTGTAGCCTGGTTCTCTTTTGCTTATCCTCTTCTACAGTGAAAAGCTAGTGCAATTGAACGCTAGATTATACATGTATTTGAGCTTCAATTTGAAAAAATGTCTAGCAATTAAACTTGTAATTTTCAAAATATTTTGATCATGAGCTCATCGACCGTGTCGAGAATAGTCCTTTTAGAGAAATGCTTGAACTTACCATATCTCGTTCTCTTTTAATTTCTGTAAATCATATTTGAAAATATGAAATTGACAACTATTTATTCTGAAGAACTATAGTTTCGATGAAGGCGTGACCATCGCATTACTTAATAAACATTATGAGATGGACTTTTATAAGGAACAAAGAGTTCCTGTCGCACGTTTTTTTTTGGCGGTTAATTCAATGAATTTTATTATACGTCTATTAATTAGATTTTTTTTTCCAAGAATTAATTGGACTTAGATGATGGTCGAATTGCATTTTTATAAGACAGAAGTATGTCAAAATTGCATTGTAAATTGCTTTTGAGACCTTATATATAACTGCGTCCAAGGTCATTATAATGTGGTATTCTATCGTTTTGTATGCGAAAATACAAATCATTTTTTCATGCCAAGAAATTTCCATAAAAGTTGATAATTGTCATCAAATTGTTGGTAAAACAAGTACACTTGTGACTTGCTTTCTACGTAACTTATTGGTGATTTACCAATACTTTTATGAAATTGTCACTTTCTTTTTTTATAGTTTCCAAATTAGTGATTTTTGCTTTGACTTACCAACTTTTATTTGTGTAATTGATCAACGCTTCAAATCTAATAATTTGCATATGAAATTACCAAGCTAAATTAGAGTGCTTTATCAACTTTTCTTAGATTAGTTATCAACAAGTTTTTGGTTACCAATTCTCATTTGAGTTATGTCTAATTGTCTTTTCTAAATTACCAATATTTCTATCGAGTTATCACTTTTTGATTGCATCAATTACCAACCCTTAAGATCTTCTATCTCTTTTCAGAGATTATCAACTTAAATTAGTGTGACACACCAGCCTTTCTCCCATTGAGTTATTTGCCGACATTTGTTTGGTTTTCTTTTAATTTGCCAAGATTTCTTATCGTTTAGAAAAGTGAAGATTTTGATGTTGGAGCAAAGCTATCAACAGACAAGAATTTACATTCTTACTTTACGCTTTCATGTTATAATGGATTCATATTATTCTATGTACTTGAAATATTGCATATACTATATTATTATTCAACCAATATTGTAACTTTATATCTCTTATTTTCTTTTAATCGGAGGATAAACCTAAATGATGGGCTCCATCTATTTGTAAGAAAACTCCACTTAAAACTCTAGCAAAGAATTTGATGAATGCGAAAATTCACTTCAACACCAACATTATAATAATTTAACAAATGTAGTCTTGAGCTCGCGCAATATGTGGACATCTCACTTATAATGTACAAAGGAAGGAAACTCCCAAATTGATGAAAGGGGTTTTCTAGGAATCAATTAAAGATGTGTTTTAGCTTGCTACCATCTAAAATCAGGCGCAGGTGATGAATTCGGGTCCCGGTGAAAATTCACTCGAGGACACCCCCGGGAACCCCGTAATCTGTCATAAATCAAACGGGTTGCACGTCGGATGAGCCACCGTCATAATTTGATAAGATTAGTCGGACGTTCTAAGGAACTTGAATGTCCTGGTTAAAAGAGAGAATCACAAAAAAGAAATAACATGAAGTACCATTGGAGTCGCTTATGATATGGCCAGTCTTTCAGCGGGCAAGAAAGAGAATGAAACAGTGACAGTCCGATGTCGATCGTTTTACTTGTTTCCTTAGGTTGCTTCAGCTTCTCGCGCGTACCAGACATGACGGCGAACGGCGCGGCCACTTCTCTCTTTACAACTGTTCTCCTTCCTCTCTCTCTCTCTCTCTCTCTCTCTGTTCCACCGTATAAAACATGCGTATGTACGTCTTCGTTTTTGCTTTTCTCTTTCTCCTGTTCATTGCTAATTCTTCTGTCAGTCAACGAATGACCAAAGAGTGACACGAAGCAAACGTTGAAGTGCAGACCTTTGAGTATTAGAGTCTGTAAATAGTCGAGCACGTTTATACGTCACCTCATGAAAAAGGTGGGTGCTCTCTAAGGACAGCAGAGTAAAGACTGAAGTGAATGATGTGTTAAAAAAAATTCACATGCATTTTGTGTTAGATTATGGCTCGGGCATGTCATGTGTGTTTTGAAGGGTGTCTTGGGAAGAAGCATTTACTGCAAGGAATACACTCAAAGGGACAACATTTTGTCCCCTTATGGTACCAAGTCTTGGGATCGATTAAAGGCGACAACTCCTTACGTTTATCATCTAAGTCAAACATAAGTGTTGTGGCCATTGATTCAATCAAATTTGGGACAATTTCAAATCTTTGGCGACAAATGTTAAGTTTTATCACATCAAGTTAGACCTAAAGCGACAAAATAGTAGTTTCAGCGCCTTCGGTTATGGACTGATTGACAAAATTCGAACATTGAGAAGGGAAAATTTCAAACTTACGGAGACAAAAACAAATTTCGGTTGCCTTATGGTAGATCTAAAGCAAAAAATCAGTTATGTCATCGCAGACTTACAGCGACACATCAATTGAGCTGATGTTTAAAGGTCAAGACCTTGGTGCCTATGCCCAGGTCCCTGGCAACCACATCATCAAGGCCGGGACCAATTCCTCATCGGCGGGCTTAGGTCTACAAAGGTTGGGCCTAGGTCCCTTGAGGCCTAGCCTAAGACATCATTTCCTATGTTTGGGTACCGAGTTCCTATGCCTAAGTCACCGACGCCCGAGCCTAGGTCCATCAATGCTAAACCTGAGACTCCGATGCCTAGTGCTTAGGCCCTCGGCAACTATGCCCGTGCCCAAGTCAATGGCGTTCGAACCAAGTCCATAGAGGTTGGGCCCAGCTCCTGCGCCCAAGTCACTGGCACCTAGACTCGCTTCAATCGAGGCTAGCGCGAGTCCATAGAAGCTGGGCCCCATATCCCAGTGGCCATGCCCCAATCCGATGGCCGTGTCCTAGTACTCAGCTCTTGTACTTAAGTCATCAGCACCCGGGCCTGTAACCCCAATTCGACACTCAGGCCCAAATTTATCGAGACTAAGCCTAGGTCCATAGTGGTTGGGCTCAATTCCCTAGTGCTTGTGCTTGTGCTTGGATACCCGGCTCCTGTACCTAAGTTAACGACTTCTAGGCTCGGGTTCATTGAAGTCAAGCCTGAGCACTCGGCTCTCGTGCCTAAGTTATCGGCACTTGGGGCCAGGTCCACAGACATTGAGATCGGGACCTCAGTTCAGCATCAGCTTGGGTCCTAAGAGGTTGAGCTTGAGACCATAGTGCCTATGCCCGGGTACCTAACTCTTGTGCCCAAGTCACTGACGCCTGGGCTCGGGTCCACCGAGGCCAGGCCTGGGTTTCTTGACTGTCGGGCCTAGGTCCCTTGAGGCTGGACCCAAGACCTCGGTGCCCGTGGCCGAGTCTTAGACAATTGTGCTCGGGTAACTTTCTCACCCAACTCACCATTCACAGAGGTCAAACTCAGTACCTCAATACTCACGCTAGAGTCCTAGCGGCCATGCCTGGGACCTCGATACTCTTATCCAAGTCCTCGGTGGCTATGCCCGAGTCCCCCGCGACCATGCCTGGGTATTTGGCTCTCGTGCCCTAGTCACTGGCTTTGGGGCCTTGTTCCTTAGTGGCCATGGTCGGGTCCATAAAGGCAGTGCCCAAGTCTCTTGAGGCGAAGCCCAAGACCTTGGTGCGCATGCCTGGGTCCCCGACGGCCGTTCCAGAGTACTTGGCTCCTGTGCCCAAGTCATCAGAACCTGAGCCCATCAAGGCTAGGCCCGGGTCTTCGGTTCCCATGCTTGGGGTCATTGAGAAAACCCCTGCTCCTACGATTAGGACCCCAGCGGCTGAATATCCCTTATATTACGTGAATGGTGCATGTCTTTTTAAAGAAATAAAATCAAGTTTTTCTTTTCAAATGATGAAAAAAGATTTGCAGTTCATTTCTAGATTTCACACAAACACAGGAATATATTATCATTTTTTCTGGAAAATGAATTTTTTGAAAAATTATTTCCAGTAATGTCAAATTTTTTGCGGACAAAAATGGAATCTTAGTATGCACAAATGTTTCTTATTTGATTGGAAAATGTCTTTTCGGTCATGGAAATATCATAAAGATAAGAAACAATTTATATAATATCAAAATTGTTGAATCATAGCACCACAAAAACTTCAATAAATGAATTTTTCAAATCCGCGCAACGCTACGCGGTTTCAACTGGTACCGGAACAAAAGGCTTCCATATTCATTGCTCTTCAATGATTATATGGTCCCACAAATTTGAATTTGGCATATTTGCGTAACTTTGTTGGTTACTAAATTGTAGCAATTTTTCAATCAGGTCACCAACTTTGATTTTGATTATCCAATGCATTGAAGTACTTTCCATTGTTTGCACTCGATTCACTTCGATAGAAATTTAGCTAATTTTTAACATGTTGACGTGATATCCATGTGGCAATGGTGTGGTGTCCAAGAAAATGACACATTTTTTTTCCCTTTGACGAAAATTAATTGGACTTCAATCAAAATATATGCATCAATTACGAAATATTAAAGTTGTAGTCATAATTGAAATCAAAGTCAAGTAACTCAATTGCAAAATCTACGGGATTTCACTTATCGTGAATAAAACCTATCTGATTAATGTAATTAGACCCTAGAGAACTTTTTGGCCGGAATCTCCTCTATGATAGCAAAAGTTAGGAAAGCTTGACCAATAGAGAGGTGATCGATGAGCAGGCGGCCCTCGACCATATCCCAAAAGCCCAAAAGGCAACGAGCGGTTAGCGTAAGCCTAGTTTATCCAACTTTAGCTGGCCTACTCGAGCATTTCTATGCAAATTTTTATATTATGGGCGAGCTGGGACAACACATTATGACCAACCTTCGAACCCGATCCTGCCTGAATCTTGTTCAATGATCACCTCTATCGTCCATTGAAATTGAGGTCAAAATTGGTGGCTCCTACCGAACTATGTTGGTTCTTCACAAAGCCAAGAATATAAACATAAATACCATAGTTTGTGAAATTATCCAACTCTTCCTTTGGCAGAAAATGGCAAGAAGCCAAATTTTCATCTTTTGGTTCTTAATCATTTCTCCTTTCGAGAGAGAGAAACAGAGGGGGGGAGGGAAGGAGAGATTGAGTGATGCGTGGGAGATGACAATCGAAAAGACTGAGAAAGATTAGATAGGTTGAAAGCCCCGCTTGCGAAAATGAAAAATTGATTGGAAAGAAAAATTCACAAAGAAGAAGAAAAGATGAAAAAATTAGGTTCTCTCTTTATTATGTTTGCTTCACGCAAGCTGCTTCCCACAGCTATCCTACGACTTCCCACACGCTTTGCCGTGACTTCAAAGCTTTAGATTAAGCAGATTCAATTTGCAAATATCCCACTCCATCTTTTCTTTAATGATAAAACGAGTAAGCTGTTTGAATAAATTCCGAAAGAGAATTTAATAAATAGATTAAACAATCATTTGTCAAGTGACCCACTATCAAAGATGGATCTCTCTCTCTCCCAAGATTTGAAATGGAAATCGAGTCATTCTGTGGGTGATTTCACCTCTAATCACGCATTCATTTAACACGTACTTATGTGTGCGATGATTTAGCATTAAGCCAACACCTATCGAACCATGGAAATCATTAAAAAAATAACGTTAGAATTTAACGAAGACGGGATTTAGGGGGAAAGCATGTTCAGATTACCCAAAATAGCGATCCACATTAGCTTGCCTTGAAGTAGTTCTTAAAGTAAAAGCATGCTGATGGTGATAGCTTAAACATTATATTCATGGGTTTAGACAAAGTAAGAAGTCGCATTTTGAGAATGGACCGGAAAGTGAGGGTCGAAGTTTATCCAAACAAAATAATCAGGATCCGCACTCGTCGAACTTCATAATCATCGTGATAAGCCCTTATAGGTGCTATATTATTCGTTCCGTTATGTTTATCAGGAAAACATGTGCCTCCACAAGACGGACGAAATTTGCACCTGTCGAACATCATAATCATCGTGATAAGCCCTTATAGATGCTACATTATTTGTTCCGCTATGTTTATTAAGAAAACATGTCCCTCCACAAGACGGACGAAACGTCGAAAGATCAAATGTCTAGGTCATAACATTTGATATACATATTCGGTATCCATTATTTAACGCGACAATCGCATATAAAATATTTAGACAAGTAGATCACATCGAAAGAAGGTGCAGCGTTATTTAACATAATAAATTCATTCATCCGTTCCAACAGATTTTAGGATGATTTATGCAAAAAAAATAAAAAACAATATGGTTTGAGACTGACGACCCCCCACCAAATATAAGGGCGATGACCCACCACTAAAAGACACTAACATTTTTTCCTCCCACCACCAGATTTCGCTCAGCCTCTCCATGTGGGAACTTCGCAGCCCAAAACTCACTTGCAGATTGAGACGAGGAAGACAATCTCTCTAGCCCTCGAAGATGAGCAATGAAAGCGACTGTAACACCGCCAACAGCAGCGACCCCAGCGGATCGTCATCGTCAAGAACCGCGGGCGGCGGCGGCGGCGGCGGCGGCCCTTGCGGGGCGTGCAAGTTCCTGCGGAGGAAGTGCGTGAAGGGGTGCGTGTTCGCGCCCTACTTCGACGCCGACCAGGGCCCCGCCCACTTCGCCGCGGTGCACCGGGTGTTCGGGGCCAGCAACGCCTCCAAGCTCCTCGCCCGGGTCCCCGCCAACCGCCGCCTCGACGCCGTTGTCACCCTCTGCTACGAGGCCCTCGCCCGGGCCCGCGACCCCGTCTACGGCTGCGTCGGCCACATCTTCGCGCTCCAACAACAGGTAAGCGCACTGTACTGTACTGTGCACTCATTCAACTACTCAATCGATGACCTGGCGCAGTTGACGGAAAATTATGCCTAAATTAGGCATGGACGCCGACGGTTCTTGCTTACAAAAGCTTTATGAATTTTTGGGTTTTGTTCTTTTTGTGTTCTTGGTTTCGTTTGAACAAGTTTGGCCGTGTCAAACAAACCCCAGCGTTAGAATTTAATTCCGTGAAACCTAATTATAGGTCCTCCATTTCACCCCTAAAAACTCGCAATTCTTGTTCATTGCAGTAAATTTTGCTTAGTACAGATTGATCATGATGGCATGCGTAACATGTCTTAAGGAATATCAACGACTCAAGAGTGAAATTCTCCATTCGAGAAGATGACTCCATGTGGATTCCATAGGTTCCTGACCCCATATCTATGCGTTTTGTGTGTATTTCTGATTACTATTACTACCGTAATTATACAAAAATTTAAATTTATTTGGGGCCAAGAACAAGGAGAGACTCTCACTGTGGGTGACAGTTATGTTGCGTACCAGGTCAAATCTCACCGATCAAAAGAAAAACATATTGCAGGCTCCCTGGTCTTTAGGGTTTTTCGTTTTCTTCTTCGGGTGTGTTTAATGAGCTACGCACGTGTAGAGTCGTAGGGTTAGGCCGGTGACGTCTCCTCCACTGAGCTTGATGGTTACGCCGCCGTCCTCCTCCTCCTTCCTCTGCTTCAGCTCCGAAGGCTGGGGTGGTCCGCCGACGTTCTGCTTCTGATATAGCTTTTCATAATTCATGCGTTGAAATTCATCGGTGTTAATTTCTTGAACCGTCTTTCCTCCTCCTTCTTCGCCGTCGGCGAGTAGCAGCAGCAGTTTGTTTACCCTTTTCTTTCGGGTCATAGACTGTCGCGTTCTTTCTGCAGTGAAAGCAAAACCTTCTTTATCCTGTTCATTCATTAGGGTTTTCGCTCTGCGGTTTCATAAATGCGCTCCGGTCTTCCAAAAAATCCGCGAAAAAGTCGTACTGACTCCTCCGTTTTGGCCACTTACTTCACTCACTGACTGCGAGAGAGAGAGAAGTGAATGAGTAGGTACGAAGTCAAAGTTCTTTGATTCCCGGATTTCCAAGCAAACTTTCTAGCAGCTCGAGTTATATAACGCATGCAAATTTTGGAAATTAATTTCTCTCTAGAATTCCTCCATTCATATTCATATCTCCAGTAGGAAAAAGATGGCTTGGAGTTAATGTTTATTGACAATTTTTTTATATTGATTTTTTCGATACCGATAGAGAGAATTTTACGATTTTCAATATATGGATTGTTTTCGTGTTATATGTATGATTAATTAGTAAAAGTCGAATTGTTTCGGATCAAATATGATTAGTGTCGCTGCTGGTTAACATCGCATTACGATCTGACGCTGTCATTTACTACATCTTCTTGCGCCACGGAATGTTGCTCTTTTACTGCCCAGCTTCTGCTGCTTGTCTGAATCTGACATTACCCCACCTGGGGAAAACATCTCCATGTCAATCTCGATCACTAAACATTTTCCGAGAAGGAAACCGTCTTAATTGCTTCCCCTTTTTTTAACCAATTTCGTAGGGCCGGGGTTTCAAATCGACGGTCGGGGTCAAATTTCAGTAGCCTCTGATGAGGTCAAAAGCAAACAGAAAGGTCCTTTTCATAGGTTTCTGTGAGTTCAAAGACCCATCTGATGGATAGATAGCTGCAGGGGGTCCCCATCACGTCTCCCCTGACACATAAAAGACGCCAGTTCTTTAATTTGAGCTATTACTTTAGTTATTATATTAGTATGATGTGCCAATAATTAGTTTTACTTAGGTTTAAAATATGTGTGTCTCAATTATTAGCTCGTTTGCCTTGTTAAACTACTCCTGATAAGGATCGTTCTTGGGAGCATTTGGCAGAGAGAGGAGGTGCTTTTCATTTGCCGAGACTAAACTGGAGTAATAATGCACGAGTAGCCAATATGTATATTTCATGTCAGAATTGATTATTCGATTAAATGTTGATCGAAAACGTTTATGTGGACTCGAATTTGACCTATATTTTCCCTTTTTCTTGACCTATTGAAGTGAAATGACTTAGAACTTACCCTCACCTTCTTGTCCTATTTTCTTGTTCTCTTCTTTTTGTCACTTACAACATGTGTGTGTGTTCAATCAAGCATCTTATGTAAAAAATGCTTAATTAAATTAATCGCAACATAGGTCGATAATAATATCACCTATAGTTCATTCTTTATAAATGCTAGTTGCTACTGTCATTTTGGAAGTTATCTTTTACTTGTGCTTTTGATTGAGAAACAGAGAATAGTTATTACATATGTAATGGGTAATTTGGTATATCTCTATGAACAGATGGTCCCCAATTAAGCATTTTTATTCTCTATATGAACAGATGGTCCCCAAGTCTAGTGTTTCGCATACACTTATCATTTTGGTTTAACTAGCACTGCATATGTTGCATCCGTTCGTTGTAGGTGATGAATTTGCAAGCCGAGCTAGCCTACGTGCAAGCCCGTCTCGCCACACTGCAGCACTTCCCTCTGCAGCCGCAGCCTCCACGAAGCCCGCCACCGTGCGATCTCCAGTCCTCCTCCACCACGGCACTGCTCTCAGAAATGGTGCCCAACCCGAGTCTGCCGAACATGTACTTCAACTCCTTCCAGCTTCACAGCAGTGTATCGGCTGGCCTGCAGAATTTTCGTATGAATCCGGCGGAAGAACGAGAGCTCGACGACGCCCAACTGCATTCGCTGGCTAGGGTTTTCATCTCTTCGTCCCGACACTTGCCTCCTCCGGGGGTGAGATTTGACGGCTCGAGTCCGCGCAAGAATTTATAGGGATGTTTAGCATGGTGGATTGGGGCAATCTCAACATTTCCTGTACCACCAGCTTTTGCCAGATTGAAAAATGCAATCTGTGTGCCTATCATGACAAATTTTCTAACCCTTGTGATAAAAAGTTGCCTTCTGGTTGTGAATTTTGCATTCTGTACGCATCCATTCACGCCCTAGCGAGCTGATTAATGTATTTTCTGGAGCCATATGGGATTGAATTGTATGTATAACTCCGCTGTACTGAACTTTTAGAAACTCAATTGGTAGGAATGAAGAACAAACTGAAGGCAACAAATTGTAGAGATTCGGAGCGCTTCTTTTCTTCATCTACCGTTGGATCCCACATGATCTGACGATGCATGCGAGCTAGGTTCACATTCTCCCCTCGGTGCACGCAATTGCCGCTCCTCTTACACTTTAGATTCGTGGTAAACCATGAGAACTGCTTCTCTCAAAATTCCAACTTGCTAGATTTCCTTAATCTGCAGTTCTTTTTCGATTTCAGTACGTACCTTTTTTTTATGAGTGTTGGCTTGTCACTTACCTCTTTCCTCTGAAGACGGTCCGGTCCGGTTTCGAGTGGAACCGGGAACCGGACCGGGAGAACCGGTTCCCAATTTTGGGAACCGTGGACCGGACCGTTTGGTCCTAGGACCGGGAACCGGACCGGACCGTCGGTCCGGTCCGGTTCCGGTCCGGTCCAATAGAACCGATCACTTAGGATTTAGTTTTTTTTTTTGTCAAATACTTAGGGTTTAGTTCACATTATACTAATTTTTATCAATGAATTTATATCAATGAAGTTCACTTAGAGTTTAATTCACATTTTACTAATTTTTATCAAAGAATTTATGTCAATAAAGTTCACTTAGGATTTAGTTTACATTTTATTAATTTTTTTGAAGAAAAAATATGTCGGTTCGGTCCGGTCCGGTTCCCCCTTGGAACCGGGAACCGGACCGCCCGGACACCGGTTCCATTTTTAGGAACCGGGAACCGGACCGGCACCCCTTAGAACCGCCCAAATAGTGTCGGTCCGGTCCGGTCTGGGCGGTTCCTGGTTTGGGCGGTTCCATTTGCACACCCCTAGAAGATGCTTCTCAGATCTTGATATATATATCAATTGCAGAAATATAAAATGAGAAAGAAATTGGAGGAAGAGCAAGATTTTTTTTTGTTTGAGGAAGACCGAGTTACATAGTGATTAATTAAAAAAACAAAGATCTATTTTGGGCCAAATCTGTAGGTCGGCCGGCCTTTTTAGACCTTTTCAATTTCTCTAAACTTATAGGCTCCGTTCGTTTGGCGGAAAATATTCTCATTTTGGAAAATATTTTCCCGGAAGTCATTTTCCTGGAAAATGTTTTCCCGGAACATAATTTTCCGGTGTTCGGCGACCAATATGAAAATGTTTCGGAAAATATTTTTCACCGGCGACCGGGCGAGCGGCGGCCGCGGCGGTGGCGGCCGCGATCGGCGGAGGCGGCGGGCCGGCGACCGGCGGAGGCGGCGGCGCGCGGCGGAGGCGGGCGGCGCGCGCCGCGTGACCGGCGGCGCGGCGGCCGCGCGACCGGCGGCGGCGGCCGGCGACGGCGGCGGCGGCGGGGCGGCCGACGACCGGCGGCCAACAAGTGTTGACCGGCGATCAACTTCCTCTCCCACGGAAAATATTTTCCCTCCCATGGGCAATTTTGCCTTCAATTTGGGGAAAATGATTTTCTCTTTGTGAAAAGAGGAAATCATTTTCCTCAAAACAATGAAGGATTTGGGGGTGGGGAAGGAAAATGTTTTCCCACGGAAAACATTTTCCGCCCCCGAACACCGGAAAACGCGGAAAATATTTTCCGGAAAAATATTTTTCCGCAAACGAACACAGCCATAATGTTGTTAACCGCCCTTCCCCCTAAAAAAAATAATAACAATAATAATAATAATACGCAGCTTATATTGTATTAGAGTCGTACATATCTTTAAGACAAGATATTAATAGAGGATTGATAAAATTGTTTGATTTGAGTTATTTAAGTTTAGGATCTTATTGTTTATTTTTTGTTTGGGAATTTCTTCCTTATATTTTGATTTTTTCGGGAGGCTGTTATTCATTAGGATTAGGGTTTGGCTGCCGGTAACTTTATAAAATTCTAGCTTTACAATGTCCTCCATTTAGCTTTTGCACCATTGAACACATTAGCCCGCTTTGGTATAACCGTAGCCGAACTGTACTATGTTGTGCTGGGTTTGTGCTGTGAAGTGTTGTAAACCTTGTGTTTGGTAATTCCATTTAGTTTGATTGAAAAGCCCGATAAGTATAGTCGTGGTTGAATTGTAACTGTGCTGTGAAGTGTTGTGACTCTTATGTTTGGTAATACACGTTTTAAAGCCACAGCACCTCAAAATTGAGCGAGGCGGTTTTTTAAAACCTGCGGTAAGTGCCTACAGCTTTTCATGTGAGAAAACGATTTTTCGATACTCATGAGCACTTATTCAAATTTACCAGCACGGAAAGACAGAACTTCAAATCGACAAGTGCTCATGCGAATGATTACCAAACATGAATATGAGAAGATGTATCTTGATTTGAAACCCGCTTTGCATTAACAGTCAAAAAGTTGACACCGCCGATGTTTTTAGACAAATCTAATATTTTGGAGAAAAAATGGACATGGACATGGGGCCGCCGTTCATTCACTTCTTTTCGTCAGTAGTACTTATTGCAATCGAGTGGCTCCGTTTATTTTGTAAAAATTACATGATTTGAAAATTATTTTTTAAAAAATGATCACTTACACCGCTTAGAAAAATGAATAAATAGAAAATATTTTTATTATCTACGAAAATATTTAAACATAAATTATTATCGATAATGAAAATATTTTTAATTGACTAATTATTTTAAGCGATATAAATTATTATTTTTAGGAAAATATTTACTAAATTATTCATCTTTCACAAAACAACGAGGGGAAAAAATTCTATGCCGGCTTGGAAAGATGAAGTGAACGAATAACGTAATTCCCTATGCATTCAATCTTACTATAGAGGTAGTTTGTCGTACATGTTCTTGTTTAGAACTTATGACCTGCTCTAAGAAGCGGTTTGCCTGGTGCAATAACCTTGGAAAAGCTGCAGCCGGTCAACTGTTTATAATCTCAAAGTCAAGAGGCTCTCCGTTGGCCCACATATATAATATTTATATATAGTCAAAAGACTCCTGAACCAACCCTTTGTATTTGGAATTTTCATTCTCTTTCTCTCTCTAAACATGCTGCTTTCAGAGATCCTCCTAATATTAAAGTCTTTTTCAACATTCTATCTCTACGCAACCTCGACATGTGTCCATAAGTTCTCCAAGTCGAATGATGTCTGGCGAGAACCTGTCTTGCCAAGGTGTACTTTCTGGGTACTTCACCAACGCCTAATAGAACAGGCAACGATCGTCCATATGCTTGCACTAGGAAAGGCTGACGTTCATGGCAAAGTGTTTCCTAACTAGCAATTAATTTAAATTTCCCTTCGCGTCCAGAACGTCTGACTTTCGTAAACTTCCTCTGGAATTTCCAGGAACTGAACTCGATCTTGCTTGCTTTTGAATATGAATAAGAGTTTGTCAAGACACTATAAAAACCCACATCGCAGAATCTTTACATCCTCATCAAGTTCAAGAAGGTCGCAGACTTCTGCAGAGAATCGTTTTCGATCACACGAGAGGCCTGAGGATTTGGCATGAAGAGGCTGACACGTCCTTCTTGCTTTCTCTTGCTCGTTCTCTTATCCACGAGCGTCGCTGCGTCGGTATTGCTTTCCGACATCAGTGTCGCCTGTCACGACGTTTTCGTTTCCACCTTCATGCTGGTGGTGAGATCAAACCGGACCGTTGCTTACGTCGTTTTTAACTTCATCAGCCTCGTGATCTTTCTTGGGTTCCTCAGGAGTGCTAAGCCGATAACTAGTGGAGATATCGATGGGATGTTCTTTGGGCTGCCTTTGCCAGAACATATCAACCATCAAATCATGTTAATCGAGGGAGAGAACAAGGAAGGAGGCGACAGCGATGAAGATGAAGATGATGACAAATACCACGGTTATGATGGCTCCGAGGAAGATAACGACGATGACATGGAATCAGAAGAGGATGAGGACAGTGAAGCCGAAGAAGGAGATAGCGACTTGGAGAGGAGGAGTGAGGAGTTTATTGCTAAGATGAATAGCAAATGGAGAGAGGAGCTTCAGCATGAAGGGCTTCTTTGCATGGTGTCTGCATCAGCTCCCAAACTGGAGCTCTTGTAGAAACCATGCAGTTACTTTAGGAATTTGAGTTGATTAGGTTTCAATTGCTTCTTCCATGTTTTAAAAGGAAAAAAGCACAGACAGATGTTGTTTGGTCATGCAAGTTACTTTTGTTTTCTGTGAATACATTGTGTGAAGCTATAATAAAGGTGGTTTGATGTTTAATGTACATATGCATTCATCAAGGCGAAGAGTATATAAAGGCGACCCGAGTGTTTTACTAAGCGTATAAACAACCCTACCTCATTTTTCAATAAAAAAATCGGCATACACTAATTGCCAAGTATTAATTAAGTACACAAGACGATCGGCTAACCGCGGTATCGAGTTCGGGACCTCTTGCTTCTTGAGGCGGATGGCCCATGCATCTTCTCAATTGCGCCAACTCACTTGGGTCGATTGAAACTAGTAAGTTACACGATTGTATGGAGCTCAAATAATTCAATATGCGTCCATCTTCATTGATTTCTGATATTAGTAGAGTATGTTATAAGTGTGGATATACTATTTAGATCAGCTTCGTCTTCACTAAAAACAAAGATTAATGGTACATGTACCGAGAGTTTATTAAGAACCGCATACTAAAGCTCCACTTGTTTCGTGAATAATGAATGATTTTGAAAATATTTTCCTAAAAATTATTGCTCATATTGCTTACAAAAATGAATGAACGAAAAATATTTTCATTGTTCATGAAAATATTTAGACATAAATTATTTTGATAATGAAATTTTTTTCATTGACTAATTATTTCAAGCTATCGTTTTTTAGAAAATATTTTTTAAATCATTCATTGATTGCTTTACGTAACATGTTAATTAATGACTCTACTTGGTCGTCCTCCTATTTAACGTGT